GGCCAGAATACTCCTTAAAATCAACATGTTGTCAGGGAGACCAGTCCCTGGAAAAGCTCATCATGCGTGGTAGAGCGGAGGAGCAGCGCGAAGAGGAAGATCCTTGGTGAGATGGATCGACACAATAGCTGCAACCATGGGCTCAAACAGCAATACCTGGGAAGCTGGAGCTGGATCAGTTGTGTTTGTTTTCTTATGCATAGGGTCATTATGAGTCAGAACCAACTCAACAGCCCTAACGAAAAACAACAGCATAAATATATGCATATCTATAGTAGAGCAAACAGGAGCAAAGTACGAAAACTCCTTAGACATACCATTGGGAATGATCCATTGGACTTGAGAGTTTAGGATTACAGTCTCAGGGGACAACTAATGCCATTGGCATGACATAACTCATCCTACTGTGACGAGCAGTGGCCAGGCCCTTTAAAGCCAGTGCACTGCAATATAAAATGACTATTGGTCTCTCTCAGTCCAGAATAAGTAGGAATAAAAGAAATTAAAGACTAAAAAAAAAAAGTCCAAAGGATTCATTAACCTGAGCCACTGCCTCCATGACCTTGAGACTAAAAGAAGGAGATGGTGACTGATTACCATTACTACCTGCTCTGTTCAGGACCACAGATGGCCATGGAGAGAATGGGAGAAAAATGTAGAACACATTTTAAAATTATAAAAATCACTTACTGGTCTAATAGAGATTGGTAGAACTCCTGAAGCTCTTTAAACCTGGAGCTGAGCCCATCCCCAGGAATCAACTTGCAGCCTAGCAAAAAACAGTCAAATGAAGTGAACATTATATTTGTGAGGAGCATGTTACTCACAGCAGTAACGCAAAAGGGTTGAATTCCCCCAAAACACATCTCAGAAGGCAATAAAGGGCAGAAAGAAAGACAAAAGCAAATGGCACCTCACGAGGAAGGGGAAGCATGCCGTTCCATTGATAGGATTTCAACAAATGTTACAAAGCAAGAGGTTGTAAATTGGTGAATAGAAAACGGTTTTCCTCTGCAAACATCCACCCAAACCACAATAAAATAAAAGTGAAAAAAGAGAGTCATATTCTTTTTTTTAAATCATTTTATTGGGGCTCATCCAACTCATCACAATCCACACATACATCAATTGTGTAAAGCACACTTATACATTTGTTGCCCTCATCCTCAAAATTCGCTCTCCGCTTGGGTTCCTGGAATCAGCTCATTTTCCTTTTTCCCCTTCCCCCTCCCTCCCAGCTCCCCCCTCCCTCATGAACCCTTAATAATTTATAAATTATCATTTTATCTTATCTTACACTGCCTGGCATCTCCCTTCACCCACCCTTCTGTTGCCCATCCCCCAAAGAGGAGGTTATATGTAGATCCTTGTGATCGATTCCCCCTTTCCACCCCCCCTTCCCTTCTGGTATCGCCACTGTCACCGCTGGTCCTGAGGGGTTCATCTGTCCTAGATTCCCTGTGTTTCCAGTTCCCAAGAGTCATATTCTTAAATGTAAAATTTTAAACTTAAAGTTTTAGAAAGTGAACACAGAAAAAAATGTTAAGGATTTGGGGCTAGACAAAGAGTTCTTGGACTTTACACCAAAAGCATGAGCCATAAATGCAGAAATTGAAGCTCATTGTGTTAGTCTGGGTAGACTAGAAAAAAAAACAAAAACCAACAGAAACTCATATGTATATAAGAGAGAGTTTTATATAAAGGGTAAATATACATTAAGAAAGCCTCCCAACCCAGTGTTGTCCAGCATTAGCCCATATGTCCGACACCAATCTACAAAGTCTTCCTCAATCTCACAAAACACACACAATGACACCGACTGCAGGAGGAAAGCTGAATCGGTGAACGTGTAAGCATCTCAGCACTGGCAGGGGTCTCCACATGGCTGTTCCAGCACCCAGGGCTGCATCGGGGTAGGTGCATGTGGCTTCTCCTCAGGGATGTCTCACAGGAAATGAGCCTGGCCAGCTGAAGCAGGGAACTGGCTAAGTAAGGCAGCTGCACCCATCCATCAGTGGGCCAACCATCAGAGAGCAAGAGACCCGAGAACATTAGAAAAGCGAGGCTCACCGAGCCATCTATCTCTCCGCCCTTCAATTAATCCCACATATGTTTAGCGGCCAGGTTGTACAATAAACCTTAACTCTCTCACTTGTCAAAGTGAAAAACTTTTATTCTTTGAAAACCAATGTGAAAGGGTGAAAAAAAACAAGCTATAACCAGAGGAGCAGGAACTTGCTATCCACATATCGAACAAAAGACGAGTAGTTCAAATATATAGAGAACTCTCAAAATAAAATGTAAACAATAAACCCACAGTGGGCAAAGCACATGAACAGATATTTTACCAAAGAATACATAGAGATAGTAAATAAGAATATGGAAAGAAAGAAAAGAACCTGGAAAGATTATTCAATACCAGATGGATTGAATTGTGTCTCACAAGGAAAACTATGCTGAATTCCTAACTCTAGTATCTGTTAATGCACCGTGCTTGAAGAAATAGGGTTTTTCTTTTATAAGTTAAGTCAAATGAGTAATATGGGTCTGGCCTTAATCCTTTCGGACCGATATTTTAAAAAGAACAGAAAGAGAAACTACCATGTGAGGCCCTGTCTCTATATCTAGGAACTCCAAGAGCCACCCAGAGTTACAGAACCTAACAAAAGAGAGAAAGAATCCCCTCTGTAGCCACCAGGAGAGCATATTTCTGCCAATTGGGACTTCTAGGTTCCAGCACTGTAAGAAATTAAATGTGGGTATTTTTAAAACCACTCATTTTGTGGTTATTTTGTTATGGAAGGCCTAGAAATGAAGACAAACATTAATAGGTATAGGAAGATACAAATTCAAACCTATCATAATAACTAAAGTAAAAAGTGGTGGCAATATCAAATACTGTCAAGGATATGGAGAAATTGGATCATTACTGAAAATATAAAGTAGTATAGCTACTCTGGAAAATAATTTAGCATTTCTTATAAAACCAAACATGCAAATTCCATTAGACCCAGCAATTATACGATTGGGCATTTATCCCCCAAAAATTAAAACTTAAGTTCATACAAAAATCTGTACACAAATGTGCATTGTAGCTTTATTGGTAATAGACCCCACAGGAAAGAAAGCAAATTTAATTAGTCAATGGTTAAATGTGTTGCATTGAAAAACCATGTGATACTGCTGAACAACAAAAAGGAATGAACCACTTGTATACGCGATGTGGTAGTTATTGAACTTCATGTCAACTTGAAGAGATATAGAAGTGTAGATATGGTATTCAACCTGTCAATCAGGTTATATAGCCTGATGGTGCTTTCTTGTGGGCATAGCCTCATAAAGAGGACCGAGGGGACCTCCCTCTCTCTCCTGCTGGCTGACTTGATTGCTGCCAGAGGCACCACCATTGGATCCACAGTATTTTGCACACACCAGCCTGTGATCTTCCTGCATTCTGCATCATTGCATGTGGCTGCATAAGTCTGAAGAGGGACTTATGGGCTAGTCTGTGACTTATGGATTTGAGTTGGACTGGGCTGGGATGTTTTCTTGGTTTATAATTACTTCTTGATACAAAGCTCTTTCTTACACATAGATGAGTGTCACTGAATTGGTTTCTCTAGTCAACCTGGCCTAACACACTCAAAAACTTGGATGAATCTTTAGGTAATCACACTGAGTGAAAAACAAAAACCCAATCCAAAGGATTACGTGCTCCATAGCTCTATTTGTAGACCATTCTTGAAGTTATAGAAAGGGAGAACAGGCAAAGGTTGGCAAAGGTTAGGAATGGGGATGTGGAGGGTGATACAGGGAGAGTAAGGTGTTTGTGGCTATTGTTAGGCCTTTCGGAGACAAGAAACAGAGTGAGACCTTTAATTAATAGATTTCTTGAGGGCCGTGATGTTTGGAGGGAACAGGAAATGAAATGAAGTGAAAGGAGTTTAGAATAGCCAGATAAAGGTTAGAGCTGGCCCATTGTCTAAAGCTAGAGAGTTAGCTAACTTAAAAGTATAAAGTCCACGAGAGAGGCCCTCTAGTACATAAAGGAAGAGAAAATTAGGTTGAACACAGCCCCACTGACAAATTACAACAGTATGGCAAGGAAAGCGTTAGAGGGCTCTAGTGTGGAACCCTCAGAAAGAGCCCCAGAGGGAGGGGGAGCTGGCATTTAAGGTAGGGAGAAGGGGTGGGAGGCAAGAGCGGCAGGAAAGTGAACTCAGAATAGCAAGAGCAGTAAGACAGAACAAAGGATCGTTTTGGCCATTTTAAGTCTTTTAGAAATGGGTGGGGGGGCATTCCTGTGCATCTTTCTGGTTGGTGGGGATAAATCCAATGGGCTGGGTGCCAGCTTTAGTGGGCTGAGATCCCTTAATTGGGCCGGAAGATGAGCAGAGTAAACTGAAGAAATGCCTGCTGCTGTCCTTAGAAACGCTGCCACCAGACCCTAGAGCTATAAAATGGCAGCAAGAGGGTTCTTGTGTTAATAAAAGTGTTCGATATCTTGATTGACTATCAGTCTCAATATCGTGGTGGTGATTTTGTGTTATAATTTCAAGAAATTATGTAAAGGGTACATGGGACCCCCTCAACATCATTTCATATAATTGAAGGTGAATCTAAAATATCTCAAAATAGTTTCATTTAAAATTTGACATTTAATTCAATGTCTATCAAAACTTGAGCTGCACACTGTTAGAGATAAAACTTGCCCAACTACTTACATGTGGGGCTTTTTGCGTTTTCTTAGACAGGTTATTTACAGCCCAATAATTATTAAGATTGTAAAGCACATCATTTAGCATCTAAGACTAATTTGGTCTTAGAGTTGTAAAAGGCTGAGCAAATGTATCTGGATTGGTAGCCAAATTGATTATTAAAAACAATCTCCATGAAGGCAGGGCACTTGGTCACCTTCATTCTGAATCTTGACAGAATGCTAAGGATTCCGAGTACTGGCAGCAACAGTACAACTTACCTGTCACCCTCTTCCCTCACAGGACCTCCTCTTCAGCGTGTGCGCCCTCAACGTCCTGTCCACCATTGTCTGTGCGTTGGCCACGGCCATGTGCTGCATGCAGATGGTTTCCTCTGATGCCCTGCAGATGGTGAGTGTGCCCCTTCCAACCCAAGCACATTTATAATGGTGGGACAGACCCCATCCTCTAGCCAATCTGAAATCAGTGCCACAGTGCACACTTCTAGCATCTAGTGTGGAAAGTGGTGATGACTCTGAGCCCTGACCTTGCGTGGCACTTGAAGATTCTTAGGCCGCCCTCTGGGAGACAGATCGCATGTATATTTGGTGGCATTGGGATGTTTACTTTTGGAGCTATGTTGGCTGAGTTCTGATACCATCATAGTTCCCCAAATGGCCCTGGCATGACACTCGGAGTAACATTAGTGAGCCTCATAGAGCTCACTGTTACTTCTGCGTCCATCGCCTGCAGAGCAAGGCACTTTCTTCAGGCTCCAGTTTCTCTTAAAACATGAGCTCTAAGGTTGTTGGAGGAGTTCTTGGGGTTATAAACTGTGTACACCCTGGGCCGCTGACTACAAAACTGGAGGGTCAAGTCCATTCAGAGTCTCGGAGAAAGACCTAGTGATAAAAACTCAGCACTGGAAAACCCCTGTGGATGAGAAGTCAGTGGCTGTGGGGAAACGTGGCCATCAGGGACAAACACAGGAGAATCTCCTCAGCAGCGACTGGCAAGGCCACCCCGAGGGAAGACGTGGAATCCCTGAAAAAACAAAAACTAAGTAAACCAAGGTTATTAAAATTGAACTTAACCATTTCCTGAGCTCTTCACCACTGGCCTGAGCCACTTGCGCGCATTCCCCCTGCCCTGCACAGGCTGCTCCTTCCCTGCCCTCATTCCCTCATTTCTCGCAGCTAAATCTCTGCCTCACTGCCGTCTGGGGCCCTGTGTGTGCACCAGGCAGTGTGAGCAGCTTGATGCGAACGTGCTCACTACCCAAGCCATTGTTTTCACCATTTAAAATGATTTTTCTCTCTTTTCTGTCCTTTTCTGCCTCCCTTCCCCCACACAACAGATAGTGCACATATCACCACCACCACCCCCCCAAAGGGTCAAGAATTCCCACCCAAACTGTGGTTTAATTAATTTTTTTAATTTTTAGCCTTTGTATTTTTGTCTAATTTTACCCTTTTCCCTTTCGATGCTCATCCCCTTTTACTGCATTCCATTGCCCTCCATAGATACGTACCCCACCAAGGCAGACTTGGGCAAGCACATCCACTGAAACCAGGTGGGGGTTTTGTTTGTTTCTTTGTTTGTTTAAGTAAAGTGTCGCCCCCACCCCCACGTCCACTGAGGGCACAGGCCCATCCATGTTCACATTGTCAGAGCAGCAGATTTCCATATCCACAATCCACACCCCATTTCCCCCCCTCATGTTAGTTTCGGACATATACTTTTTTTCTTTCTTCTTTTGTCTTCTTCCCCCTTTCAATTTTTCCTTCCCTCTCTTTTTTCTCTATTTTTCTCTTTCCTCTTTAATTCTACTTCTAAATATATAGATAAATAAATTCTCTTCTGTTTGGTTATTTGCTTACACTTTTCTCCTGTCCCTCCTGCTATTTCTTTCTATTCTCTCTCCTTTTCATCATGAAATATACATTGACAATACCTCGTAGGGATAAATTACTCCACTTAAAACACATTTTACCATTATTCTTATAAACCTTATTATTTAATACTAGTACTTACTTGGCTGACTGACTGGTAGAGGTCCCTATTTTTACCCATTCCAATGAAAAGCGACCTAATAGAATGCACAAAGTTTAGAACAACACCATGTTGTCACATAAAATAAACCTTTGCTGAAGATCATCCAGTAACAGTTGCAGCAGTACACTGACAGGTACCTGCCAGGGGTTCAGGCCAGATTCAGAAGAGGATGTGGAACATGGAATATCATTGCTGACATCAGGTGGATCTTGGCTGAAAGCAGAGAATACCAGACAGATGTTTACTTGTGTTTTGTAAACTAACCCAAGGCATTCAACTGTGTAGACCATAACAAACTATGGATAACCTTGGGACAAATGGGAATTCCAGAACACTTTGTTGTGCTCATGTGGAACCTATGCATAGATCAAGAGAAAGTTTTGCAAATAGAACAAGGGAATATTGCATGGTTTAAAATCAGGAAAGGTGTTCATCAGGGTTGTATACTCTCATCATACTTATTCAATCTGTATGCTGAGAAAATAATCAGAGGAGCTGGCTTATATGATGAAGAATGTGAGGAAGACTTACTAACAACCTTTGAGACGTAGGTGACACGACCTGGCTTACTGAAAGTGAGGAGGACTTGCAGCACTTGCTGATGAAGATCAAGCATTGAAGCCTTCAGTCTGGATCACAACTCCATGTAATGAAGACCAAATTTCTCACAACTGGACCAATAATTAACATCCGAATCAATGGAGAAAAGATGGAAGCGGTCAAGTTTTTGTCTTGCTTGATCCACAATCCGTGCTCAAGGAAACAGCACTCAAGAGATTAAACAGCACGTTGCTTTGGATAAATCTGCTGCACAAGACCTCTGTGCCCAGCGCAAGCCATGATCTTTTCCATTGCCTCACATGCATGTGAAAGTTGGACATAGCTAAGGAAAGCTGCAGAAGAATCAGTGAATTTGAATTGTGGTGATGGCACAGAATATTGACAGTACCGTAGACTGCCAATAGGACAAACACGTCTGTCTTGGAAGGAGTACGGCCAGAGTGCTTCTTAATGGCAAGACGTGATCATACATATTTTTGACAAGTTGCCAGGAGAAGGCAGTCCCTGGAAAACAGATATCGTTTGGTCACATGTAGGAGCAGCAAAAGAGAGGATGGCCCTCAAGGAGATGGATGGGCACCATGGCTGCAAGAGTGGGCTCAGGCATAGAAATAATTGTGAGTGCGGTACAGGGCTTGGCAGGGTTTCATTCTGTTTGCATAGGACTGCTGTGGGTCAGAACTGATTCAGTGGTCCCTAACAACAACAATGTCTATAATGTCTGCTTTTTACCCATTTGATTTTTGATGACTTCCAAGTTCCCAAGACTTACATATTATACAATTCAATTTCTGATTATAGTAGATTTTTGCAGCTGTTCTCATTTTAAGTTGTATCCCATTAGCAAATGAAGATCCTGAAAGACTGACTCCCTCCCCACAAGCTTCTACTGCATTAACATTACCATGGTCAAGTCTAAGAAAGCAGCTCCCCTTCGGTCACATTTTGTGTACCTTCCATCCCTAGGGTCTCATCTCTAGTACTATCTCTGACAATGTTCACTTCCACTCACTAGCCCTTCCTTCCATATTTGACAATATTTCCATGCCATACATAAGGTTTTCAGCAGCTACTTCCTTCAAAGTGGGAAGTTGATTCCATCTTCATAGTCTCGTCTTAATTTGGAAGGTCCACTGGCAAATATTCATTTGAGGGTGATCCTGCTGGCATTTGAAGTACTGCGACTTATCTTCCAACATCACAGCAACACACAAGCCACCACAGTACAACACACTGACCGAAAAGTGATGGCTAATTTGGCATTTTGTGTTGTAATTTATTTCATCAAATTCATGAACTGTACCACATATGATTTCCAGATTCTATACCTTTAAAGTGGAGCAAGACAGAAAGAGCAACCTGAGTGCAGAACGCCCCAAACTTCTGAATCTTCATTCCTTTACAACTATCCTCCAGACCTGAGTGAACAGATAATTCTTTCATGTTTAAACTTTTTATTGTGAATTGAGAAGATTTACACATTCAATCCATTTTTCATTCAATAATTCATAAATATTTTGTAGCATGCCATTGATTGAAGTCTTGACAATGTAACAACACTTATCCCACTTACTCCTTGTGTTTCCCGCATCCATTTCTCCTTTTCTAACCCTTGTGAACTTTGTCCCTGGGTAAATGCTGCCCTTTTGAGCTCAAATAGTTGATTATTCTAAGGAAAGTGTACCTCCTTAATGGAGTTGTTCCCTTGCTGACCTGTCTGGGACACTGGTGGCATAGTCGGGTATGGGTTGGGCTACTAAAAGCAAGGTCAGCAGTTTGAAATCACCAGCCAGCACCTGGAGAAAGACAAGGAAACCCCCTGGGGCAGCTCTACCTTATCCTGTAGTGTTGTTAGCAGCCAGAATAGACTCATTGGCAGTGATTTTTTTATTTTTGCGTTTTGTTTTGTTTTGTGGTTTTTCATTGTTGTTGTTTTATAGACTTATCTATTGTTTGACTGAAAATGGACCCATGGGGATAAGTGCAGTTTCAGAAAGTAAGGGTAACTAAAAGGCATAGCCTTGTCGGATACACTAGTCTGTATCTTACCAATAAGCCTGATTTTTGTTTGTGATTTCAATTCTCTTCCACTTTATCCTGTACCTTCTAATGTGATTCCTTTCAGAACAGTTTGTAGTGGTGGTAGCAAGATCATAGAGATTGATGTCCGTGTTTGCTATTAGTCCCTTGGATTATTTCCCTAAGTCTTCCCTTTTCTTCACAAATCTTTTCTTTGGACAGAAAGAGACCAATAAAATAGAGGAAAGAATTAGGAGGCAAAAGACATGTATAGAGGTATAAATATAGACATGCATATATGTAAATATATAATGATAGGGATATAGGTCTATGTACACATATTTATGTTAAGTATTAAGGTAGCAGATAGACATTGGGATTTTATTCAAGTCTTCCCTCAATGCAAGAGCTCTTTGTTCTAATAACCTGGCATTCTGTGATGTTCACCTGCCAACATGATCACTAAAGATAAAATGGGTGCATAAGCAAATGTGATGAAGAAAACTAATGGTGCCCAGCTATTAGAAGATAAAGCATATGGGATCCTAAAAGCTTGAAGATAAACAAGAAGTCAACTAGCAGGGTGGCAACAAAGTCCACATGGAAGAAGCATACTAGAAGAAGCCTATGTGATCACGAGGGGTCTACAGGATTAGGTATCAGACATCAGAAGACCCAAAACAAACAATCATATCGATGCCAATGCTGAGGGTAGGAGTAAAGACCCAAAACCCATCTATAGACAATTGGACATCTCCTCACAGAAGGGTCACAAG